GGAATGCCCATATCACGCGCCTTCTGGTGCATTGCAAGTGTGGTGGGCTTGCTGCTTTTGCCTGGCAAGCCCGGCTTGGAGAAAGACACTTCAGATCAGTGAAACATTTCCACCAATCAGGTAACAGCTAGGAGGGACTTGCCCCACCCCTGCTTGGAGCGGGGCAGGATGTGAGGAGCCCTTGGACCTGATTGAAGACTGCACTTTTCAGGTTCAGCGGACTTCAGGGGCGGGGCCTCTGGTGTAGATAAAAGCAGATGCAGTACGGGACTCAAGAAAAGCGGAGCCAAGAAAACCTGGGGAGCTCTCTCCCAGCGGGCAATAGAACCAAGGATTCTGAGGCTGCCACTGGAGAAGCAGTCTTGGGAGTGGTGAGAGACTGCTTGAGCTGTTAATGATCCACAGGGATGGTGCTGGGAGACCTGGCCCCGGGAGCAGTGTGAGACTGTTTGGGCCCATTACAGTGCACGGTTTGGCTCATGGAGTCCAGGTTTTGGGAGCCGCAAGTGGCAGCTCAAGCCTGCAACCCTGGAGGGCCAGCAGGCCACACAGTGTGTGGGACAGTGCATGTGGCAAGGGCCTTGGGGGCTGCAGTGAAGCAGCTCAGGCCCCATCTCCTGGCAAGTGGCCAGGTCCCATGGTGCACAGGGCAGCACATGGGCCTGAGCCTTGGGAGCCAGGAAGCAGTGGAGGCTGCTTGGGTTAGCCACCAAGTGTGAGGATGACCAGCTGGAGCTTGAAGGGCCCAGCCTATGCTAAAAGAGCCCTCGGTGCTGAAGCCAAAGCATGGGAAATAGTGCGGCAGCATGAGGCCCAGCACCCAGAAGCCAGCAGTGGTGCAGCAGCTGAGAGGAGCTGAGCCCTTGATGCCCAGAGTGGGGCACAGGGTGGGGAGGAGCCCAGCAGTGTGGGAGAGGCCTGGAGAGGTGCTCCACCAGAGGAGACCCCACCTGATGGAGCGTGAGTCATTGGGTCCCACCAGGGAAAGACATTTGGGGTGGGAAAACCCAGAGAAGGGTCTGGGTGAGCAGCCCCCTGCCTAGTCTGGGCTCTAAGGGGAGGGGCCCCTGGTGCTTCCTGGATGCCCCCACCCCCCGGGGACCCCAATGGAAGGAGGACTATCTCTTGCATGGGTCAGGGACTATATTAAGGAATAGATGTTATTTAGATTGCTCGTGTTTGCACCTTATATTTTGTAATTCAAATGTTGTATTCTGATGTTGTATTGTGTTGATGCTGCTGAAATTGTTTTATTGTGATGGTGTGGCAGGGCACTGTTTGTGCCTGCCACTTTAAGGGCCAGAAGGCTGTGAGGTGCTTGAGGAGGGCAGCCATTTTAGATTCAGGGCTGCCCATATAAACAGGGCAGTTCTGCTGCTGCAGGTGAGGCAATAACACTGTTTGGTTGGAGGGATGCTGGTATCTTCTGGAGGTAAGGGAGGAGTTGTAGGGGATGGCCAGGAGGGGCCTGGTCCTGGTCCTGGTCCTGGTCCTGGTCCTGACCTAAAACTGCACCCTGCTAGGAGTGTGTGGCCTGGTGGGGCTCTCAGTGGTGCAGGGGCCTCCAGGAAATGCCAGGTCAGTTACCACCCTGGTGAAAGGCAGGTTGGGGTGCTTTAACCCCTAGCCCCCATGACTGGGTGGGTTACCCCTTTGTTGGAGAGTTGAGAAGGTGGACCCCATGGTGAAAAAGTAAGGACCATAGACTCAGGCCTGTCTGAGCTTCCCCTGACTGGCCCATGCTGGGGCCAGGACTAGGAAAGTTGAAGGGCCAGGGGCCCACTGTGAGTAATGCGCAAGAGCTGAGGGCCTGGGGTTCCCGACTGGCCTGGAGGTGGACTAGGGCTAGTGAGCCGAAGGTCCCGGTGGGGGGATCACACCCAAAGGGGGCTCAGTTCAGGGAGCTATGGTGCCTGGTATGATGGTGAAAGAGTGCCTGAGGGGAGGAATCCAGGTGGGGTTCAATAGGAGGATTCTGGGGTCCAGTGTGGGGCCGGTGATTTATGAGAACATCTAGATGCCATCTGCAAGGCTTGGGCTGCGGTGTAGGGGAGGAATGGAGCCACAGATAGCAACCCCTGGCATCAGGGCATGAAATGGGTAGCCTCCCATGTAATTAACATCTATTAATTAATTATAACAACAAGGTGTTATGGGTGAGAATGCAGGCAGCTGGCCCAGGAACAGGTGGGTGGGCCACAGTGAGATCAGCCCTGAGCAGGTCCCCTGTTACAGATGGGTAAATAGTGTTATTTAGGGTTTGACCTTGGTTATTGGTTAATGTTCATTGTGTAAATATATGTATATGATGCATAGTTTTATGTTTATACAATTTATTCGGTTGTAATATACATATAGTTAAGAGCTTTGGGCTTGGGCTAACTCTATAGAGGAAAGAGGGATCCGCTCAATGTTCTGGCATTACTCTTACAGCACCCCTTCCTGCCTACCCATCCCATCTGACTGAGAATAGGGCACACCCTTGGGTGTACCCAGGTTACACAAGTTACTCCTGGTGGGGTAGGGGAGGCTGGGGACAGCAACTGTGCTGGCCTCAGCAGCCTTACTTGGCATCCTGGGGCCTTCCAGGGCTGCAGTTTGTTTTAAGCATGGAAGCAAATGTAATCAAATGCACAAATGACTCTCAATACTTTTGTGAGGGTGTTCTAGATCAGAGTACACACCTTTCCTTTCTTTCTTCACTGTCTTCTGATGCCTCCAAGTCCTGCACTGTCCCCCACAGACAGCTGACACAATAACATACCTGGAGTGAACTGAAATGGCTTTTCTTCGTAACACAATCTCAGTTCAGCTCTGTATCAAGTCTCTGCATGAAAAGTAAAAGAATGCTGCAACCATTTAATTTTGTAGCAGTGTCACGTGGGCTGGAAGAAGAAAGGCAGAGAGGAGACGCATGACTTCACCAATGAAAAACTGCCTGAGAAGCTAGAAAAATAAAGAGCCTTCAGAAAGTGTGACAAGAACTGGTTTTTGTTTTTTCATTTTGGTTTTGTGCTTGAAGGACCTGACTACCTTTCCTGGTGGGGCCGTGCATTGTAGTTACCCTATGCCAGCCCCCATATGCATAGTCTGGCTTCGGCTTGTATAAGCAGTCCACGTATCGGTCACAGCTCACGAGGCTGACACAGGTCAGTTCCTTAGCAAAGCCTTAGCATGAGCAGTGTAGGTGTGAATCGGTGCTTTGCCTAACCAGGTCTCCAGTGAGACCCCCAAATGCGTCTCATCTTAATGGAGACTGAGGTAAAATGCAGGTGTTATGAAGAATCGCTGCATTCCCCTTGACATGGCAATTCCTGAAACCCAAACATCTCCCAGGGAAAAGCCAAACAAAGGAATATCACAGTTTTACACTAATGAACTGATAATCACTTTTTGGAGCTTTCAGTGCAGCTAAGGGTGTGGGCTGCTGCACTCAGTCTGGACCAGTCCTTCCTTTCTTTCTGTTTCCTCTCAGCTATGGTTTCCTGTTATTTATTAGTCTTTAGGGGGGGTTGTTTTTTGACATTCCCTGCCCTACGTCTAGAGGGCTTTCTGTTTCTTTTAACTGCTATTGACACTCCTGTTGCATTTGTACCCTAAAAGGAGAGTGAATTAGAATGCTGACTTATGGCTGGTGTGCATGGATGTGGGCTTCTATTGAGGCTTTCCAACATGCTGTCAGGGTGTGCATGCCCAGAGGCTGATTCTCAGCCTGTGCCCAGAATAAGCAGGTAGAGAAGCATGAAAAAGACCTAGCATAGGCTGGGAATGTGGCCCAGGCTTTTGCTCAGGAGGATGGAGCAGGCCTCATGGTCCAGTGCAAGGGGTGTTCAGTGAGGGAGTCTTGGGAAAAAGTTTTTCTAAGATGTCATGTAATATCACCATGCAAGGTTTGACATGGTTATGCATGGGGAAAGGGTACTTTACTCTCTTCCTCCTGGTCCCATGTAACTCCCACTCTGAGCTATCCAGGGGCCATCTGAGCTGGTCAGCATCTTTTTGTAAGATAACAAACACTAGGAGAGGCAAGTATTTCTTTGGGAGTGGTATCTTACATTGGACCAGCTGCAGAGTTGGGATAGAGTTTGACAAGCTTTCCATGTTCTTCTTCAACTCTTCTCCATGCATGGATTATTTCCCATACAAGGGTTGCAATGTCGTTCTTGGAAAGTCCCATCAGTTAAGTGCACCTTTCACTGGGAAGGGACCGTGCTTGAACTGCTCATCCTGGTTCTTGCTGTTCAATGTTAAGCAACAGGGACTTCAGTTTCATGCTGAACGTGTTTATCTGCTGCTGCCCTTCTGCACACCCTCCCCGTCCTGTACCATTCAAAATGGCTCACGTAGCAAAGATTAGTGGCTGTTCGGTAGCAGCAGCCCAGCCCGCCTGTACAATGGATGGCAGTTTCTACCACGACATCTCTCTCTCTCTCTCTCTCTCTCTCTCTCTCTCTCTCTCTCTCTCTCTCTCTCTCTCTCTCTCTCTCTCTCTCTCTCTCTCTCTCTCTCTCTCTCTCTCTCTCTCTCTCTTTAGTTTCACTTCAGTTGAATCTAGAGTTCACATGATGCTGTTGCTAAAAAGGAGAAGCCAGAAGAGCCCGATCATTTCTGTGCAAGGCCAGCTGCTTGGAGCATGAAGCCGGAATTTGAAACGCCTGTGAAGCTGAAGGCACAGCACTGCTCTCTTCTACCAGCTGGAGCAGATCCCCAAAGGTAGCGTGAGTAAGGGGGGAGAGAGAGAGTGCTGGGGGAGAGGCAAAGTATTTAACTACCTAGATAAGGTGCCAAAAAGGATGAAAGCACAGATGAATAACTAGGACAGTTTTGGGCCCCCACTACAGAAAGGATGTGG